GCTTAAAGAAGATATACCCCAACAACCAGATAGAGACATAAAGGAGAAACTGTACGACCTCACCCATAAACACATCTCAGTGGAACGTTTTTGGGTCCCCTCTTATGTTGGAATTGCTGGAAATGAGGAGGCAGATGAAGCAGCAGCACGCGCGGTTACGCAATTCTCTACCATGGGACAATCACCTTACACCGACTTTAAGGACCATATCATGATTACATCTGGGCACCATGGCAGAACCAGGAGAGTGGCGGCAAGTTATATGAAATAAAACCAGATGTCAAGAACGTACTTGCGCTCCCCCCCCCCCCCCCCCCTCACCATAGTGCGTCACCTGCTACATGCCCCTAACTGCGATACATATTCTAGTGGAGTGTCACGAGTTCGCAGTGCTAAGGCTTCTTTATGATGTACCGACACTTGATCCTAAACGGCACTCGCGCCGAACCCCAATAACAACATTCAATTCCTTGAAGCAATAATGTATTATCACTAACTTTAAGATTGTGCTATATCATACTATAACCTAGTAACGGTCCACCGCTAATAACCCTGCGTTGATGCCGTATTTTTAATAAAAATTCTATAGATAAAAATTTGGATTTAGATTATTGAAATGTTGTTCTTTAGCTTTTGTTTTTTGTTACAGTCCTTCAAGTATTATAATATAGAGAAAAATAGTCAAGATAATTTTGTAGCTTCATGCATCAGGTACAAAAGTTGTCTCTGGGATATTTTCATTTCTACTTTCCTTACGAGATAAAGCCAATTTTCTTAGGGCCATATCGTCAGTCGTTCCTACAATTGTAGGATGCCTTTCTGGCCTCATTGATTTTCATAGTCTTTTCTTCAGAAAGGCTGGGGTATTTATAGATTGCTACTCTTCCGTGTCAGCGTCAGCGCTCTTCTATTGAGAGGCTATATTTTCTTTTTGAACTGTAAGAAATTTCAGGCTGATATAAAAGATTATATAAATCAAAAGCATGGACAATTTGATGCAAATAGATATTGGTAACATAACCTCAAAATAGAGCACTGACACTGAACAGAAATCTATGAAAATCAAGGAGGTTGTTAGAGATATTTGGGTTGGCTTTATTTTATGGCGAGTATTAGTTGTCGCTTGCCTACCAGGCGCACGTGCGCTGCTGGGACAATAAAAAGAAGAGAGATACTAGCTCATAGTGAGACCACATATATACGCCGCAACCGCATATAGTGAGACCACGTGTCTACGCAGCAACCGCATATAGTCAGAAACCGCATATAAGCAGCAACCGCATAGAATCAGAACCGCTTCCACACCCGCAATCTTCACGCTCCTGCATCACCGCTACGCTAGGAATACGAACCAGAATTAGTCAGAATACCGGATCAAAGGTAGGTGACAACCACATTTGTGGTAATATGCCTTCTACTACGATTGATGTGAGAGAATGGCCTCATATCAAGGACTTAGAATGGGGTGACTCGGAATTCTTCATTTCTCAACCAATAGAATTAATTTTGAATACCGATTTGTTCCAACGCATTCTTATTGGTGGACACATTGATTCCTCTCAGAGTAATTTACCTCGAGCAATCAATACATCTTTTGGATATATTTTCATGGGACAATTCGATTCTCAGAAATGTGTGAGAAAAAACTCTTTTTTACTCTGGACTCGCTTAACGACTCTTTACAACGTTTCTGAGAAATAGAATCGGTTCCACATCGCTCATATTTGTCTGCTGACGAATTAAAATGTGAACAAATTTATAAAAAACAACTTCTCGGGAAACATCAGGGAGATATGTTGTACCATTACTGTTTCGTAAAGACGAGGAACCTATCTTTCATGACAGCAAGCAAATAGCTCAACGAAGATTTTTCTCTTTAGAAAAACGCCTTTTAGCTGATAAAAAATTGTACGATCCTTTTAAGAATTTTATTCAAGACATGATAGACAATCGTTATATGTCTTTATCTGATAACATCAATTACTCTTCGCTTAATGAATATTTCATACCGCATCATTACGTGGAATCAACTACCACAAAATTAAGAGTGGTTTTCGATGCTAGTTGTAAGGATTCTAATCAGTTTTCGCTAAATGACACACTTATGTCAGGTCCTAAACTCCAGAAGGATATTAGTCAAATTCTTCTGAATTTTAGATTGCCGCAAATCGCTATAACCGCTGACATTAAGTCAATGTATTTGCAAATTTTAATTAACCCGTCGCAGACACGCGTTCAAAAAATCTTATGGAGATTTTCGCCAGACTCTCAGCTTGAGGAGTATGTTATGAATACTGTCAGTTTTGGCATTAGTTGCTCGCCTTATTTAGCTTTAAAAACTATCCAGCACCTAGCAAAACATGAAGAGAACAATCATCCATTGGCTTCTAAGGTTTTACTGAATGATATATTCGTAGATGATATTTGCACGGGATGTGCTGATTTAGATGAGGCTTTAGCTCTGCAACAAGATTTAATTGATTGTGTTTCAAAAGGATGTTTCAAGCTGCATAAATGGGCTAGCAATAGCAAAGAATTTTTAAATAATTTACCACTTGACTGCTAAGCATACAATTACGCTTTTTCTTTTGACACTGAAGCAAACGCTAGTATCAAGATGTTAGGATTAAAATGGAATCCCTCTGCTGATATATTTTTTTACTCTGTAAATCCCGGAAACGTACTGTGCACGAAAAGAAGTTTACTCAGTGAAATCGCTCGCATATATGATCTACTAGGTTATTTAACACCTGTAACTTTGATCGCTAAATTACTTATACGCAATTTATGGTTAGCAAAATTGGATTGGGATGATACTCCTAACCAAGAAATATTGGAAACTTGGCAAGAGTACAAACATCAATTGTCCTGTTCATCAGATATATCTATACCAGACTTAGTTGTACCTAAACAGTATAACTACATAGATTTAGTTGGTTTTTCAGATGAGAGCTCAAACGTTCATTCAGTCGTAATTTTTATCAGAATTGTTACGCAGTCATCTATGCAGATTTCTCTGTTATGCGCTAAATCTAAGGTGAACTCTTTGAAGCAAGTTTCTATACCGCGATGTGAACTACTAGGATCAGTTTTGTTGTCTCAACTATTGCGCTTTGTTTTTGACACATATAGCAATAAAAATTGACATTCAAACATATTTTCGCATTTACAGATTCTACAGTCGTTTTATATTGGCTTAATTCCTCACCGCACAAATCGGAACCATTTGTAGCAAATAGGATATAAATCATTCAAGAAATGCTACCCGATGTTCAGTGGTATCATGTGTCTTCGGAAAATAATATCGCCGATTGCGCATCTCGGTGTTTACAGCCCTTGGATTTTAAAAACTATGGACAATGGTGGCCAGGACCTGATTTCTTGTCGCATCCAAATGCACATTGGCCCACCACAGATTCTCTAATAGACATACCATGTGTGGACAATGAACAAAGAAAAACCGCTCTTATGTCAAATACAGATCCGAACATATTGGATATGCTTTTGATCAAATGTTCATCACTATGCAAGCTTCAATCAGTTATTGCATATATTCAAAGATTTATTTATAACTCTAGGAATCCCAAAACAATAATTTTATCTACGCTCACCGCTTCATGTCTGAAGAACGCAATGCACGCTTTGCTCAAACACACCCAAAGTCAATACTTTTCTTCAGATATTTATAATTTAAAGGCCATAAGCTCGCTTCGAAGCCACTAAGGAAACTTGGTGTTTTCCTAGATGATAATGGAATTCTCAGAGTTGGTGGTAGACTACACAATTCACTCTTAAGTTATGACAAATTATTTCCTATTCTACTGCCTCAGAATTGCCCTCTAACGCATATCATTATTACTGATACGCATATTAAAAAACTGCATCCAGGATTACAAACCACGTAATACTTAGTCGCTCAAAGTTATTGGATTTTAACTTCGCGTCGTGCTGTAAAGAAAGTAGTATCACGTTGTGTTACTTGCTGGCGCTGTCGACCTGTACCATTTCAACCCATTATGGGGATAGATTTTGGCTCGGAAAAGGTAGAGGCACCAAGTCTGTCAAGGCTTACATTTGCGTATTTGTCTGTTGCGCTGTTAAAGCCATACATATTGAACTCGTAGCAGATCTTTCTACTGAGAATTTTCTATGTGCATTACGTAGATTCATAGCCAGACGTGGAAAATGTTTAAAAATTATTAGCGACAATGCTGCTAACTTTTCAGGTGCTAACAACTATCTGCTTAAAATTATGAAAGATTGTGCCCAAACAGAAAAAAATTGAATGGTCTTTTCATCCGGCTTATGTCTCTAATTTTGGGGGAATTTAAGAAGCTGGAATAAAATCCGTCAAAACGTATTTATCCCAAGTTATTGGATCGCAAATTTTGACATATGAAGAATTGAATACAGTTTTAGTTCAGATAGACGCGCTCTTGAACTCGAGGCCACTGTGTGCTTTGAGCTCGGACCCTAACGACTCTACGGCATTGAGCCCTGGTAATTTTCTAACGTTGAATCCATTATCTTGTTTACTGACTTTTCTAATTTAAATATCAATCGCATAGATACATACCAATTACTTTTACGCTTACATAAAGATTTTTGGTTGCGATGGCATCAGGAGTATCTGCACTCTCTTCATCAAAAGGCAAAGTGGTATACTCCAGGTGTTGAACCTAAAGTATGTGCGTTGGTGGTTGTGAAGCAGGATAATGTGCCGCCTATGAAATGGGTACTGGCCCGGTAAAGATCAAGTCGCTAGAGTCGCTCTAATTCGCACAAGCCAAGGTCCTACAAGCGCCCCATTAACCCTTAACTACTGACCATGGGTCAATCTGACCCGTGCCAAAATACATGCGCAAATATTTAACGACCGGAAGCGGGTTACCGCTCGCACGTTCTAGTAGCTGTAAGTTAGTACGCCTTCGACCGCCTAACGTATGTGTCGTGTATTTTGCTTCATAATTTCTTCGAAAATATTGCGTGCCATGATCAGTATGAGTGGAAGTAAGCGAGTTCGTTTCGGAGATCCAAATTTTGAGGCAACCCTTTTAAAATGGTATGAGGAAGATGAAGAGGAAACTAGTGATTTTGAGGATAGGGCTTTAGATCCAGATTTTGCTATTTTAAGCGACCACGAATCTATCGATGAACAATCAGCTGATGACAATCACGTCAATATTCAACAAAAAAATGAATCTGAAGATTCGGATACTGATATGGATTCTGACGGAGAGAGACCTGCTTTTTATGGAAGAAACCGTTTAAAATGGTGTAAGCAAGCACCCAACAAGCAAGTAAGAACAAGAGCTGAAAATATTATCATTCATTTACCTGGTTTGAAAGGTCCAGCCAGACTTCATAGTGATGAACCAAATCCAATTCAAATATGGAAACTTTTATTTACTGACAAATTATTGGATGAAATGTTATTCATACAAATAAAAAATTGAAATAATTAAGCAACACTATAAAAATGTCTAACGTTCAGAACTTAAACCTATGAAGTTGAAGTATGAGTTGAATTAGAAGCATATTTGGGATTATTGCTCTTTACATCTATTTATAAATCAGGCCATGAACGCTTACCTTCATTGTTTGCCACAAATGGAAGGGGCAGGGATATATTTAGAAGTACTATGTCCTTGAACCGCTGCCTGTTATTGAACGCTTTTCTGAGATTTGATGACAGTATTTCCCGGGAGGAGAGAAAACAAAAAGATCCGTTGGCGGCCATATCCAGCATTTTCAATGAATTTGTAAAAAATTGTCAGGAAAATTTCTGTATTAGTGAAGTAGCCTGTGTAGATGAAATGCTTGTGGGATTTCGTGGTCGCTGCAAGTTTAAAATGTATATTCCCAGCAACCCTAACAAATATGGGCTAAAAGTCCAATGTCTTACTGATGCTAAAAGTGGCTATTTGTACAATGCCTACGTCTACTGCGGAAAAGGCAGCGATAGTTTTACATTAACCCAGGATGAAAAAAAGTTATCAATTCCAACACAATCAGTGATTCGACTAGTGAAACCTTTGGAAAAATCTAACAGAAATGTAACTGGTGATCATGGTTTTCTTCCAATGAATTGGTTGAAGAATTGCGAAAGCGGGGTCTTACACATGTCGGCACTCTCCGCAAAAATAAAAAAGAAATACCTATCGAGTTTTTACCGTCAAAAGTTCGCCCTGTTGGAGATGTATGTTATGGTTTTACTAAAGATAAAACAATTATGTCCTACGTTCCAAAACCAAACAAAGCTGTAATATTGATCTCTTCGTTACATCATGAAGGAAAACAAGATTTGGGGTCCGATAAGCGGGAGATCATAGCCTTCTATAATGGTACCAAAGGAGGAGTCGACTCTATGGACCAAAAATGTTCTGTATATTCATGTAGTAGAAGAACACGACGTTGGACCATGGCATTATTTTATACAGTTTTGAATATATCATCAGTAAATAGCTATATTATTTATCAAAGCTGTAAGAATTCTAAGAAAATTGACAGATTTCAATTTATTGATGAATTGGCGTATCAACTTGTAGAGCCCCATATTCGACGCAGGTAATGAAAACTTGTTATAAATAGAATATCATTGCTAAAATATTTCTATATGTTTTCAGGTATAATAATCCCAGCTTACAGAAAGGATTGAAAGTAGATATAGGCCGAGTGCTTGGAGAGCGTCTTCATCAGCTGCCTCAGCCTTACCAAAGCGGAAAAGATGTAGCCTTTTTCCATCAAAAAAGGACAGAAAAACTTCCAATGCGTGTGGAAAATGTTTAAAACCCATATGTAATGAATGTTCTTCAACTATTTGCAGAAATTGCTTGTAGTTAGGAAAAGTTAAAAAATGCACTTGTTATTATCAAATACGGTGTCAGTTTTTAAAAGTTTTGAAACATTTGAAGTTTTATGTTATATTTCACATACTGAAGTCTTAGAAATCAAAATCAAATATTATCTTGTTTTCATTTTTGAGGTGTTTTAGTTTATAAACCTTTTTAAGTGCAATACTGGCTACTGTACTGATATTATTACTTAATAGTTTGTAGATTTGTTTAAGTATTGACTTTTGTGAGTAAAAATAAATCATTTAAAAGATACATAACTTCTTTGAAGAAAAAAAGAAAAATTAGACCTAAAAATAACCCTCGGATGATCATGGGTCAATTTGACCCATGATCAGCGTAAAACGTTATAAAACTATGCTCATTAGTTAAGGGTTAATAAACTTTGCCCATTACCGGAGCAATAGTTTCAGTCAGTCACATTGTAATAATTGATTTTAGCTTAAGCTTAGTTTTTAACTAATTTTTTTTAGGCGAATCGTATATTTGCTTTTCTTAAATTTTATTTCTATTTAATTATTTCATCTTCTTTTTTTTCTTTTCTTTACGCTAAATCTTTGCTTGGTTTCCACCAACCAAAAATGGTGTGCAGTATGTTAGAGTTATTTGGGTTGGCTTTATTTTATGGCGAGTATGAGTTCTCGCTTGCCTACCCCGCGCGCGTGCGTTGCCAGGACAATAAAAAGAAGAGAGATACTAGCTCATAGTGAGACCACATATATACGCCGCAACCGCATATTGTGAGACCACGTGTCTACGCAGCAACCGCATATAGTCAGAAACCGCATATACGCAGCAACCGCATAGAGTCAGAACCGCTTCCACACCCACAATCTTCATGCTCCTGTATCACCGCTACGCCAGGAATACGAACCAGAATTAGACAGAATACTGGATCAAAGGTAGGCGGCAACCACATTTCATTCTTGAACCAGCCGCTATACAGTCCACTCGAATACTCTACTAGAGGTCATAATAATTTTAGAAACGACTGACGATACGACCCTTAGAGCTGTCATCAGACCATGTAAAATGGTTGTTGCGGGATTTTCGATCCATCTAATTGATAAAATAGTTTTTTTGTCTCATAGCAAACCCCGTCATTAGGATTTTACAAGATTATTTAAAAGTTAGCAAATAATCTTTTGCGGTCAAGTACTATTTTAATGCATATATCTCAAAATATATTGAGGGCAAACATATCTACTTTTCAGTAAAAAACCAAACAACTACTTTGTAGTAAAGAGAATTGCCACAACAAATTTCGACGCATCAAACACTTTTTCTGTACGTGTTGCATTATTCAAATGACATTTATATTTTATAGACGTGCGTACGCATAGAAGTACGTAAAATGACAATATTGTAGTGAAAGATTTGGTTAGACAATAATTTGAGGATGTACTTAATTATAGTTCCTGAAAAGATTGCGGCTTAGGTTGTATGTGTGGCAGATGTTAGAATAGAGGGTTGGAGTCATATCATTTTTACTTTCCAGCCCCGTAACATTTTACTAGTTGACTGTATCAAAAAGCTTATTCTACAAAAATCGTAGACAAGTGTATGGTGACTAATTTCTTTTTTATTTTTTTAAGACTCGATGCATATTAACGGAGATAAACGATAAGAAAAGGAACCATGCATTGTATTTAAGTAACTTAACCTCAAAAACTATCATTTGTGTGGAAAATGTGGTTTTAGGCTCAATCAGTAGTGGTCGTTCAGACTACAACAATAACCCTGATACGGTATTTTTGTAAGGTGAAACTACCATTTGACGGGGTCAACCGGGTTCAATACCTAACAGTAGGTACTATGTAACTTGTTGTTTTGTTGTATGTAAATGGTAATATCACTAATATTTAGAGGTACTGTACAGAGAGTTCCATGAAGAAACAAACATAGTGAAATGGTAGGTAGTATGGACCAAAGCCGGTTTTCTCGTCCTTCATAACGCAAGGCGTTTCAACTCGCTTAGCGAGTAGACGTCATTTGCATTTGCTTTCGATGTGTTTGTAAAAATATGGTATTCCCTTTTGTCTCACGCTTAGCGTTTTTCGCTTGTTGACTCCAAAAAGACTCCTAAGTGGTTGGTGTTCTTATTACTGTCTGGGTTTAACTCATTCTTTACAAGATATTTTCCAGAACAGATCCTTATGAAAGGTTGGAATTGAATATAAGTGATAATAATCGAATGGGACTGTATGAACAATTGGAATTTGAAGAATGTATGTTATTTTTCTATCAACTGTATAACAGCTGATTTTAATGAGCTTTTCAAAAAATTAAATATTATCCAAAGTAACTTCTAAAGGGAGATAGATGTCTTGTGGATAGTTTTAATACCACTGAATTTAGTGCTTGAAGTAAATGTTTTGGTTTGATTACACTGGGGTGCATAATTCCCAATTTTGCAAAAGTAAGTGAGTATTCTATATCCTGGGGTACTGAAATTATGATATGATAGATATTAATGATCTCTGAGATTGTATCTCTCAAGAAAATGCCATTTTCTATGTAGGCTTGTGTGTTAATCATAGCTGTTGAAAGCTGATTTATTTTAGCTTCCAATAGCTTTTGGTTATGAGTAATTTGACTTATATTTTTATTGAAATTATCGATAAGTTCGACAGATAAGGTATTCTGACTATTGATAGCTTCTGATAACTTGTTTTGATTATTCTGCAAATCACTTATTAGAGACTCAAATTTTTCAGCAACTGAAGCATCCAGGTTTCCTGTGATTGCTTGGAAAATTGAACCTAAGCCGTTTATTAATCCCCTTTTTATCCTAACAGAGAATGATGGAAAAGTTTCGTAAGTAGAGGGAAAAATGTAATTTAGCTTTCCGTATACTTTTCTTTGTAAGAAATACAAAACATTGAGGTAATTTGCTGAGTGTTTATAGTTCAATATATTTCCTGGATAATTTCGCAACATTGTCGGTAATACAGTATTGAGTGACAATTTTTTGTAATTTTGGTAGTCCCTAATTTCATGGGTATCAACCATAGGTTATTTTCTAAATTCTTCAACGTTATCGTACCATGGATTCCTATGATTCCTGGGAACCTGTAAAATAATATATTCGAAAGAAAATATTATTTTTAGCGTGCAATTAAGAATAAAGTAAACGTGGATTAGATACATAGTTCCTTATCTAATTGCTCGAGACTTAGTCAAACGAATAAAGTTTGCGTAGCGGACATTTCAAATTACTTATATGCACTTGTCCGTGGTGGTCCGTCGGGACGGTCTTTTTCTCCGTATTAACACTTTGTAGTCTACACGGCTTTGAGAATTTTTTGGCGTGCTTTTTCCTAACATGCTTTTTGACATATACTGTTTCTCGGTTATCAAGTATAGTCGGACTATCGCAATCTCTGTTAACGCGTTCTAGCGTTTTCTCTTTGTTTTGAATGAGATCAGAATTTATTTTTGAATAAAATAGCTTTGTACGCTCTTTGTGGCTGTTGGTATAGTCATTGAGGAGTAATTGGTCGATTTTGATATCGAATGGTTCGTTCGACGTAATATGTCCATTGATTATATCTATAGGCTTTAATTTTGTGACAGAATGTAAGGTGTGGTTGTAGGCTAAAATGGCATACAACATTTTCATTTTTATAGGTTTTCTGAAAGTGTTCAACAATCTTAAATGTTCGGTGATAGTTGAATGAAATCGTTCAACGACTCCATTAGAATCTGGATGATTTGGCGAAATAAAATGAAGCTTAATTTCATGAAGTGACAAAACTTCAGTTAAAACGGTATTTTTGAATTCAGTGCCATTATCTGCGATAATTCGGGTAGGAATTCCATGATGAGAAAAGAATAATATCAGATTATCAGCAATTTCAGTTCCTGAAAGCGAAGTAATCTGATATGCTTGAGCATATTTAGAAAAACTATCTATAATTGTGAGAAATTTTGAACCTTCAAAAATGAAAGTATCGATATGTACGGTTTCAAAAGGTTCTGATGCAGTGGGGGTGAGATTCCTCGCAATTTTTATCGGATGACGCTCATATTTACATTGTTGACAATTTTCACATTCATTTATAAATGTTTGAATTGATTTTTTCAAGTTAGGCCAAAAATATTTTTCTTTTATTCTCTGATGCGTTTCCTCAATTCCACGATGATTCGACTTGCTTTCGTGGTAATTCCGGATAATGTCCTTGATATCAGTTTTATCCGTAACGTCGACTAATTTGGTTCTACACATTTTGAATTTCAAAGTATCGGACTTATACATCCTTTGTAGAACAACAGAAAATTTTTCATATATATCTGGATTTTCAAAGTATTTTCTGAAAATTGTACGTTAATTCGTTGCTTGCTTTCAAATAAAATAGAAATTTTTGGTGGTGCAGGTGAATGTTTTACTGTATTTATGATAATCTGATTATTTCCCTGATTAGCTGCGTAATCAACTATAGGAATTGTCTGAATGGGGTGTTGGTCCGCATTTGAATGTACAGTTTCGTCTGGATTTTCAGGACGATTATTTTTTATAATTATTCTAGATTGACTTGTTCATGTTTAATGATATCTACAATTTCGTCTGGGGGTTGAATAAAAAGACTGTCTTCGTCATTATCGATGTTTACGAACATAGTTTCGGTATCAGGTTGTTTTGGGGTAGAAAAGTTGAATGTAGGTGTACTTAATTCAGATGAGCCTTTCTGAACTGGTCGGTCAAACTTAACGTTTTGGTGTTGAGTACCCGCGCATTCTTGAATCAAAACATCTAAGTCGTTCCAAAATGAACTGGTTTCCTTTGTATGGATCTCTACACGAGACAGGGCATCTACATTGGTATTCAGTTTGCCTTTCTTATAGACGATATTCATATCATAGTCGTCTAACCTGATTTTCCATCTTAGTAATTTTGAAGAAGGGTCTCGAAGGGACCATAAGTATTTTAAGGGCATATGATCAGTAATTATATTGAATTTTCTCCCGTAAAGATAGGGTCGAAAGTATTTAATCGCCCCGACTATTGCTAGTAATTCTTTCTCAATCGTACTATAATTTCGTTCGGAATCATTACGCGTGCGCAAAGCATAGGCGATAGGAAGATCCTGTCCTATAGGGCCTTGTAAAAGTACACAACCAAGGGCTACGTTGCTCGCATCCGTGGTTAAGTTAAATGGCTTAGAAAAGACTGGATACTTGAGTATCGGTTCATTCATAAGAACATTTTTACATCAGCATAAATCCTTCATTGTGTTCAATTTTGGCTACCTTTTTTAGACATTTAGTTAGAGGCTTTGTGAGTTTTGCAAAATCTTTTATAAAACGTCTATAGTAACCAATAAGTCCGAGAAAGCTTTTAATCCGCTTAGTCGTTTTTGGAATCGGAAATTTTTGGATGGCAATAATTTTATCTGGATTTGGCTTAACGCCATCTGGTGTGACTACATGTCTGAGATAAGCTACTTCTAATTCTGATTTGTCGAGCAGTATTTTAAATTTTGAATTTCTAAGTCGTTGGAAAACTGACCTTAAATTTTCAATATGTTCGCGAAGGGATGTATAAAAAATTATAATGTCGTCGAGATGTACGAGACATTTCTCATTTTGTATCCCCCTTAAAATATTATCCATGATGCATTGGAATGTGGCGAGCACGTTTTTTTAGGCCAAAAGGCATCCGGAGAAACTCCCAATGCCTATTTTCGGTACTAAAGGCGGTTTTCTCTATGTCTGTTTCCTCCATCTCGATTTGATGGAAACCACTCGCTAAGTCAAGGGTAATAAAATACTGGCATCTGCCAAGTTTGTAAAGCAAGTCGTTGATATTGGGTAACGGATATTTATCGTCAATAGTCTGTTTATTTAATTTTCGGTAGTCAATTACAACTCTCCATTTTTGCTTCGCCGAAGCGTCTAGCTTCTTTGGAATGACCCAGATAGATGAATTATAACCTGAGCTACTTGGAGGTATTATATTCGAATCCAAAATTTTTTGTATTTGGCTATTTACTTCGCCTCTGTGAACAAATGGATAGCGATACGATTTTGTGTAAATGGGCCTTCCGTTTTTGGTTTTTATTTGATGTTTGACTTTATTAGTAAATGTTAGTGGAGTTCTGTCCTGGTAAAAAATGTCTGAAAACTCTCTGCAAAGTTGAAGTATCTTTGATTTCTCTTCAGAATGATCAATCCTGATTTCCGATAAATCTAGGTTACATTTGTCTGATGTGTCTAAATAATTGAGATCAATTTCTGGCATTTCTAATAAATTAAATGATTCTACTGAAATCGTCTGAGAAAAATTTAATGTAACAGGCTTAGTAGTGTTATTCAAAATCATTGTCAGCGCAAAATTATTTTTTGCTACCGTAAGGCATTCAGGTATCTCGGAAATATGAAATTTTTGATGAGTAATTACGATTTCACCATTGACGATCGATGTTTTGATTTTTATGACTTGTTCGGTTCGAGGTGCGACGGTTATCAAATTTAAGTCGTTAGAAAGCTGGTGAAATTTTAGTCTAATTTTGGCGTAGGGCGTATGTAAAGTTCCTTTGCTTAAATTAATATCGGCTGTCAATAATTTTAGATTATCTAATCCAATCAATCCTGTAGGATACGAAATTGATAATATGATAATAGCAATATAACGATAAACGTGAAAACATCTCATCTTAGAAGATCTCGAAGTACCGCCCCGTACCATCACATTTTTACTACATGGGCAGTACGTAAACAATTCTGTATGGGCAACAATGTCAGGGTAGTATTAAAGTCACTTACTTGGTGACGAAACGACAACGAGTTAACCTCCTTTGGCAAGAGATAAGGGCGATATGATCGGATTGTTGGGGCCAACACCTATTTTTAGAAAAAGACTTATGAGTATCTCCCATATTCAACCGACTCATGACATCACATGCACAAATCTACTATTTACCATTACATTAATGTACCCCAACTACTATTACGGATTCGTCATCGACTGAATCACGGGACCGTCATCACACAGACTGATCCTGACCGTCATCACACAGACTGGTCAATAAGTCATCACACAGACTTAATAGGAGTCATCACACAGACTCAATCTAACTCTTTGGTCGCTAGGTATATGGTCAGACATGCTGAGTTTAACGATTGTTACGAAAAGACAGTTCAGGAACCGGGATATCACGCTGGCCAAGGGCCGTTGTGTCAATACCCCAAATCTCCGACGTTATCCCTGAATCAGAAGTTCACAAAGCGCACTACTTGGTCTGAGAAGCGATCTCATCCACGCGATAATTGAAATGTATCGCTGTCCACGCCCGACTAACAAAGTTTATCCTGGGAACAAGTACCCAGAGAAGGAATGGAATGTATAATGTAAACAGGCGTAAGGGCTGTCGCGCTGAGTGACACTAAGCAGCCTTGTGAACCTTCTGGAAAGGTTTTGTGTGCTACAGGGTTGGACTGGCATGCAAAAAAAATGTGTTTGAGATATTTCGTAAGCTTACAATCCATCGAAAATATTGTGAAATTTAAATAGGTAAAACTTCAAATCCATACGATTAGGAAGATTGAAAATTTTCGATGCCGGGCTGGATGCACTATATTTGTGAGCGGATTTTTGAAAAACAGTTGATGCAACAAATGGATTATCTCAGATTAAATTTGGAAAAAATCTACGAGCAATACTGGGATCAATAAATGACTTAGTTGATCCAGAATCGATCAACATTTTAATTCCATATTCGGGAAAAAGAATGTAGTTCGCTATGGCCTGTCGAATTATGTTCTTGTTTGAAAGAAATTCTAGTAGAAGTACTCATTGGAGTAGTTTGTGGCAAAGTACGGTTAGGGTTAGGTTTGAAAACATTTCTGTTATTCTGTGTTTGGCTAAAAACCTGAGAATTCGTCGGAAATCTCTGAGGACGATAAACTGGCCTTGGCAAGTTTACAGGTCCAGTCGGAAAAGTCGAATTGGGTTGAAATGTTGAAGTGTTCGGCTGACTGAATGGATAATTAGGCTGAAAGTATGAAGGTCTATTTTTATTAATCATTGGCCCTTGCATTGGCCTGGAAGTTTGATTCTGTGGCACATTTTGTGATTTTCCAAAATTTTTGTTATAATTTTGGAAATAGCTGACATTGTCTTCAGATATAACGAATTGTAAACCTTGGCTGAGAGGTGTGGGTTTCATAATTGTTGTACCCAAGGGCTCTCGTAGTCCGCACAAAAATGTTTTCAGAGCTAATTCTTGATATAAATTTCTTTTTAACACTTTTGCTTCTTCAGAATCTTTATGTACGTTTACATGGCTGCATAGCAGATTCAAAATATGAAGACACTTGAATTAGCAAATAGATATTTTGGAAATTATGTGGGTTCCGTATATCATAAAAATTTGCAATTAATGTTTTTTTTTAAACTCTGGGATGCAATTTAAAAATTCTGGTCTGAATTGAGACGTGCTTGGAATATTTTCAATATTTAATCTAGGTGGTCCTAAAATAGGTGAGTCTGTTGAAAGTGTCAAATTATCTATAGCCTCTGCAATATCTTCCAAAGACATTTAAAATGTATAGTTGCACTTACGCTAATACGAGGATGATCAAGTGCATCACGTTTCTTTCTTTGTCTTTAGTTGGTTGCTTAACTATAAGGGGAGGATCTTGGTTGGACGATCTGGTCCTTCTCCAAAATGTTCCGCTTGCAGATTTGGGCGATGCGTCCAAATCCCTGACTTCGTACGTGGTAGCTGCACACGGTGTCTTCGATAGACTGGTTCCGCTCGAACTCCCACTCACCAAAGTCTTTAGTCCGTAGGCCGTTTTTCCGATAAATTCGTCGATACGAAAACTGCTTTCTCGGTCTCGATTGATTCGCGAAACAGCCCGAAAATCCTACTGTGGCTGCGCCAATTATCCGACCGAGTCAGTCTACTTGCTTTTTAAAAAGATTTATTTTCGATTATCAAAATACAATTTTATTGATGTATATAGTATGAGCACTAACAACAGACTAACTAACTGTGAATACAATAAAATAGGACTGGATAAGGCAAAGTGCTGATCCAGGGAAACTAGATCCCCTTCTTTAGTGGTAGGGGTGACTCTTCTGTACTATACCGCGCAGCTACTTGAAATTATTCATACTTCTAAGTAACCACAACAAGGACATTTTATAGCAAAATACACGAGTTTACCTTGTCGACATAAACCACGAACCATTCCGAAAGACGATTTCTTCATACTCTTGTCTATACATATTTACAGCTGAAATTTTCACATGGTCACAGATGAGCCCTAAAGTTTATGAAAAAATATTTCATACTGAAATGCGCTGAACTGTTTACAAAATTAGCACGCAAACTAAAGACACAATTACCTTTCAAACTGTCTTAGACTAGTTAGTATGTAGCATGTGCTGCATTATTGATGACTGCATGACTTTGTCAAATAAGTAGGTCACACAGTCCAGTTTCTTTCTATAATTCCGTGGACCTTTTTTATAACAGTATTAATATACTATACGTCCGTTTTCGATATCTCGTACGATTAAACGACTGCGAGTTCAAAATACTTTTTATTGCTCACAAATTAATCAATATAAAAAAAGGAGTTGAAATCAAGCTATACTTTAAATAATGTATTAGGGACTAATACCGAGCATTTTGCCTAATTTTTCAGACTGTCAGTTTGCTACAATTAGTTGATATCTGTATACTGTTTTTTCATTTTATCGACTCTATTTTCCAATACTTTGAACTCGCAGTCGTTTTAATCGTACAAGATTTCGAAAACAGACGTATACTTTATTAATACTTTTAGAAAAAAGGTCCGGGAATTATATTTCTTCGTGAAGAAACTGGATTACGTGACCTACTTATTTGAAAAAGTTATTTAGTCATCAATAATGCAGCCATTTAGCACATGCTACATCCTAACTAGTCTAAGACAGGTTGAAACATAATTGTGTCTTCAATTTGCGTGCTAACTTTATAAGCATATTTCAGTATGAAATATTTTTTTATAAACTTCAAGGCTCATCTGTGACCTTGTAAAAATTTCAGCTCTAAATATGTATGTCTGCCCAAGAGCATGAAGAAATCTTGAATTAAATTTTTTTTTCTTCGCAACAAAATGTGATGGACACATCCGCTTTGGTTTAAAATGTGTATACTAACGTATGTTTTTCGAATATCGTAGCGAATCTGTTCAATTACTTAGGCATTCAGAATGATTGAATTTGTTTAGAAGAAAAAAAAAACGTAACCCTTCGTTTTTCGCATAAAAACAACAATTATCTTTCTGAATGGTTTGTGGTTTATATCGACAAGGTAAACTCGTGTATTTTTCTATAAAATGCCCTTTGAACGAAACCTGTATATTGCTCACTAAACTAGTAGTGATGGTCGGAAGACAGGTGTTATGGGATAAATAATTTGAAATTCTCAAAGACTACTTGACCAATCGACTCCAATTGTGATGTGGTTACTTAGAAGTATGAATAATTTCAAGTAGCTGCGTGAAATTATCGCCGCATTAGCAGCAAAACCTGCATTTTGCCGCAGTTTTCGGCCATAACTTTTTTACTATTAGTCGGATATTTTTACGTGTGGTCTCATTCTGCAGGTCTCATAAATACCTAAAAATCTTATTTGAAGAGTTCCCCAAATAACACGTTTTCTGATTCTTTGTTGTCGAATAAAAAGTTTTCCCACAAAAATTGGTGTACCCGTTTTATACGTCCATGTTTTAAATACCCCCTTGAACAACTTGCATCAATAAAACCAGACTACAATTATTTCACAAACCAGGAGTATTTTTTTGGCCGAAGCCGAACTTCGGTCTGCGGATCACCTTCGGCGTAAACGGAAGCCGAAGCCGAAGGTGGTTAAAAAAATATAAAACTTACCATAATTCATAATTTTAATATATTTAAAATATTTATATATTACAACATTTTTAATATTTTTATTCTGTTGAACTATATAATATAATCTAAAACATAGTAAAATAACTAAAAAGTACCAAAAAATCATAAAACATGGTAAAACTAAAACAATATCCTTTGGTAATAGGAAAAAAATAACAAATAACTAAGATTTAAAATGTTAAAATTAATTATTCAAAATTAATATTCAAAATTAAACATTCTAATATTATAGGTAAGAAAAAGTAGTTTGTCAGCATTTTCCCCTAGTGAATTGGAGGCATATAATATAATCTAAAACATAATAAAACACTCAAAAGTACCAAAAAATCATAAAACCTGGTAAAACTAAAACAATATCATTTGGTAATTGGAAAAAAATAACAAATAACTAAGATTTAAAATTTTAAAATTAATTAATCAAAATTAATATTCAAAATTAAACATTCTAATATTATAGGTAAGAAAAAGTAGTTTGTCAGCATTTTCCCCTAGTAAATTGGACCTTCGATCAGCATAAAGTTGTCCAGCAGAAGTAAATAATTGTTCGCTAGCTATACTTGTTGGGGGGGGGGCGATAAAAACTTCTTAGCTGCAATCTTCAAAGGAAGATAGGGACTTGACTCCCAATAATGGAATGTGTCACCACTTCTTAAAAGCAAACGGTTCTCATAAATAGTTATCTAAGTAATCTACATACCGTGTTTCTGCTATCGTGGTCGGAACGACTGCAAGATGAGTATCATGTGAATCCCAAAGATTATTCTTTTCTACTCCTACAGTTTTTATGCATTCTAATGATGATAGAGTCGAAACTATATTAGCGGAAACTATACTTGATTGATTGATTTAATGATTCACTTAGTTGTAACTTTAAAGAACATATCTCCTTAGATTCATGTTGTTCGGTTTATAGTTTAGCACAGAGTTCCCCAAACTTTTTTGTGTCGTAGACCACTTGCCATGTTTTTCCGTGTTGGGTAGACCCCCTACTTACCTGATATTGATTTCCTGTAAATTTCTAACTGTAGTGAAGTTTAGTGTTAAAAACTTAAAGTAAAAACATATTAATTTATACATTTATTAATTGAATTTAAATTAAAACTACTCAACATAAAATTTTGTATCTGTTATGTAAAATATACGTAACATTAAATAAACAGGTGTCTGACCAATAAGTGCCCGCATTGGGAATAAGTGCCCGCATTGAAAAAAAAAAATAAGAGGAATAAAATAAAAAAAAAGTGAAAAATAAAAAAAAAAAGTTTTTTACTTAAAATAGTACAATAAGCGAGTTCGTTTATTAATTATAACATAAACGTATGTTCTATAATAATTTCACTGTTAGTTTGATTAAATTCCGCTTCTTATACGTTTAAGTTATCTCAAAAAAGGCAAAAAATTAACGAATTTTAGTGTGTACCTATCCTTGAATTTTCAGAATAATTTAAAAAAAAATATTTTCTATAAAGGGGGGTTCTTTAAAAAAATCAATGCGGGCACTTATTCCCAATGCGGGCATTTATTGGTCAGGCACCAATAAACATAAAATAAACTATAAATAAAATAACAAGCAATAAGTCAATATTTTTAGTGAGAAGGATGAACCTGATGCTTTAATAATAAATTATCAACATTTGGCGTCAATTTTGTAAGGGTTAATCTTAAATCTCCTCGGCTAATGATGTCCAGTCTGTTTCTTTTTTTCGTTAGGAGATTGGTAACAGCGCTGAACCCACTTTCCACTAGGTATGACGATTTAAAGGAAATTAAAAATTTCCTCGCTATATTCCATAATACGGGATAAGTAACGGGTATGTTGTTTTGCAGCCAGAATTGCTGATATCCGTTTTTAAACTGAACCTTAAGTTCACCCCCAAGGAAATGATTCCCCAAAATCAGTTGTACCTCAAAAAATACTCTAATATAGAGACTATAGGCTGGGTGCCATGGTGTGAGAAAGCTTCTGAAAGGCTGGCAGATAAAAAAATATGCTAAAAAATTCATTTTCACCCCCAAGGAAATGATTCCCCAATATCACTTGTACCTCAAAAAAATACTTTATTATAGAGACAATTTATAGGCTGGGTGGCATGGTGTGAGAAAGCTTCTGAAAGGCTGGCAGATAAAAAAATATGCTAAAAAATTCATTTTCACCCCCAAGGAAATGATTCCCTAAAATCAGTTGTACCTCAAAAAAATACTTTATTATAGAGACAATTTATAGGCTGGGTGGCATGGTGTGAGAAAGCTTCTGAAAGGCTGGCAGATAGAAAAATATGCTAAAAAATTCATTTTCACCCCTAAGGAAATGATTCCCCAAAATCACTTGTACCTCAAAAAAATACTCTATTATAGAGACAATTTATAGGCTAGGTGGCATGGTGTGGGAAAGCTTCAGAAAGGCTGGCAGATAAAAAATATGCTGAAATAATTCATTTTCACCCCCAAGGAAATGATTCCCTAAAATCAGTTGTACCTCAAAAAAAATACTCTATTATAGAGACTATTTATAGGTTGGGTGGCATGGTGTGAGAAAGCTTCTGAAAGGCTGGCAGATAAAAAAATATGCTAAAAAAATCATTTTCACCCCCAAGGAAATGATTCCCCAAAATCAGTTGTACCTCAAAAAAATACTCTATTATAGAGACAATTTATAGGCTAGGTGGCATGGTGTGGGAAAGCTTCAGAAAGGCTGGCAGATAAAAAATATGCTGAAAAAATTCATTTTCACCCCCAAGGAAATGATTTCCTAAAATCAGTTGTACCTCAAAAAAAATACTCTATTATAGAGACTATTTATAGGTTGGGTGGCATGGTGTGAGAAAGCTTCTGAAAGGCTGGCGGATAAAAAAATATGCTAAAAAAATCATTTT